ACATCCATTTTCCTGAAAAAAAAAATCATGATTTCGTTTTTATTTATTGCTGCATAAGATTCTATTGTATCCATTTTCTTTATCCATTCATTTGTTGACAAATATCTAGGCTGGTTCTATATAATGGATATTGTGAATAGCACAGCATAAAATGTACGCCCTTGGGTATTGTCTGTGTGTGTGTGTGTGTGTGTGTGTGTGTGTGTGTGTGTGTGTGTGTACTCTTGTGCCCACATGTGTGCCACAGTATGCATGTGGAAGCTAGAAGACAGCTTGTAGGAGTCAGTTTTCTCCTTCTACCGTGTGGGCTCTGGGGACTGAACTCAGGTCTTAGGCTTGACAGCAGGTGCAGTTACCTGATGAACCATCCCATTGGCCCCCAAATATAGGTTGTGTGACACATAGAATGTAGAGCCCTGATCTTGTTTTTCTCTTGCTTTTTCATTTCCTTGAATTTGGGATCCCAATTCAAGGCCAGATTCAAGTGTGATATCATTCACAAAACCTTGATTTTCATGGTCCAATTTGATTTCCCCCATCATGTTTCCTATAGAAGTAGTTCTGTATCCTTGATATTTCAATTTCTCCTCTGTGTTGTGCTCTGGATAGTATTATTTCTAGCTGTTTAACCATCTTGATAGATAGGTACTGTGTGCTGTATGCGTTTATATCACCACAGTAATCAGTTAAAGTTTGTTATTATCCCCACTCTTATAAGTGACTCAAGCAAGACAGAGAGAGGAAGCCATTTGCTGAGCTCATGTTATCTTTGAAATGGCAGGAAGATCCTTGTCTGCCTGACTTCCAATCTCAGGCTCTTGGTGCAGCCCAGGCTTCTCCGCTCTGTCTTAAGGACTCTCAAGAAATACTTGTTGCATGAGTAAGCAGGAACCTCTATCTTCCTCAGCCTTCCTCCCCCTTTAGTTCCCTACTACAGAACTGGCCCTGTCTTCACTTGGGAATTGTGAAGTGTGTTGTCATCAGAAGACGCAGTTTACAGTGTCCATGTTGACCGGCTTTTGTTACTGAGAATGTTATGGTAACTTTGTATTTTTTTTTCTTCTTCCCTAAGGCTTTCATGATGCTCACAACACCAGTTAGATGGGTCTTGATGATCAGAATAAATCCATAGTGTCACCTCCTCACTGTTTCCTCTCACTTCTGCGATGTGACCTTCAGTATTACATATCCAATTATGATGAAAGCCACCCTGAAGTCCTCTGCTGTTGAAACAATGCTTAGTGTACACTTGGCATGGGACTCTGGGCTTGGGCCTCCACTCTGCTGGCTTGTTTACCTTGGCCTGGCTCTTCTGAGTTGGATCTTTTCCTAATTACCCTTGCTTCTGGCTTCCTACCAGTCCCTTGCCATCAGGTAGCCAGATGCAGGATTCAGTCCAGCTTGGTTTTAGGGCACATATCACCCTATCCTTTGACAAATTAACTTCTAGTTTTTTAATCTACCCCTAATAAACATGATCATGTCTGTAATGGTTCTTTGACTTATTAGTACAGTGTCTAAAATTGACATTTATTAAGTGTTTATACCGTGACAAGCACTGAACTAAAGTTCTTAAATATATTACTTTTTTTTAAATCTCTGAGTGCTGAAAGTATTTTCATTTGACAGATGAGAACAGGAATCTTGTAAACGTCAGATGAGGGGACAGGGCTTGACACTATATCTGCCTAGTACCAGGGTATATATAGTCCCTGGTGTCTTTTCTTACCTAGGAGCAGATCATGAATTGGCAGTTGTACCTGTGTTATTAAAATTCGATTATCTTGGGCTTGGAGAGATGGCTTGGTGATTAGGAGTGCTTGCTGCTCGTGCCGAGGACCCAGGTTCAGTTCCCAGAACCCACATGGCAGCTCACAATCATATACAACTCCATTTCCAGGGGATCTAGAGCCTTCCTCCTGGACTCTGCAAGCAGCAGGCATGCACACAGTGCACATACATGCATGCATGCATACAAAAACATTTATACACATAAAATAAAAATAAATATGTCTTTTAAAGGAGCAAAAATAACTTATTTTATATTATATTTTTGTTTATTTTTTGTGATTCTGAGGATGAAACCTGGGGACTCTTGCCTGTTAGACAAATGCTCCACTACTGAGCTTGTTCAATTATACAGGTGAATATATATGTGAATTGTTACATAGGTGGTCTTTTATTTTTCTTATTTCAACAAAAGTTGGAGAACTGACCAATAACCTATTAAAAAAAACCTTGCAGTTATTTTTTATCATTGGGTTTTAATATTCATAAGGCACCAACATTAATCATGAATTTTATAATCATGAGTAGAGAACATTGTCTAAAGTGCTTTTCATGTATTGTTTCACTGAGCATCTCAGGAATCCAGTGAAGCAGTATTGCTCTCCCCCCAAGTCTCTTCTTATGGATGTGGAATATAGAGCGACAGAGATCTTTCACTCTTGACCCTTGAGCTAACTGCACCTGCTTTAGGTCGTCAGAAGAACTCTTTGACTATGATGTAATATTGCGTGTGTATTTAAATTATAATTCATGGGACAATGGATTAATTATGTTCAAAATTCTGGAGAGAGGGCTCAGCAGTTAAGAGTACTTGCTGCTCTCCCAGAGGAACCAGTTTGGTTCCCAGAACCCTCATGGTGACTCACAATCATTTGTACCTCTAGTTCCAAGGGATCTGATATTTTCTTCTGGCCTCTGCGGGCACCAGAAACACATAGTACACATACATACATGGAGGCATACATATACATAAAATAAAGTAAATCTTTAAAAGTCTTATCTCTCAGAACTCACTTTTACATTTGATCAATGATCACAATCCAACTTTACTTCTATTTTTTATATTTTCCCCTCCTCTTCTTTTATTCATACTTTCAAAATTGTATTCATATCAGAATCATTTTGCAAATAAAGTGAAAAGGAAATCAACTCTTTTATTCTGTAAGCATTTGCAGATTATGTAATATTAGCAAGCATTTCTTTCACCTGCGGGAAAAGAAAACTATATACACTTCCTGATCTCAATACTTTAATGATATTGGGAATCAGACCATTGCATTTTAAATTTATTTATGCAATGGGAAACAGATTCAGTGTCAGAGAAACTTAGTAAGAAAGGATGACTGAGTTGATATTGCTTCAGTAAAGATTTTAAGACAAAAATTCAAATGCAAATAGAATTTTTGGCAAGTAAAGGGAATTGGAGTCGCCAGGGGTCAAAGAGGAGGGAAATGGAACCCGGACAAAAAAGGAAGGTGTGTCAAGGCAGCTACCACTGCGCATTGGGAATTTCCCACTGGGGGATCTGGGAGAGTTACTACTGATCGAAAGGTAGGGAGTTGGACTATTTATACGTCAGCTTCCACCAGTCATGGATTGAAGTTGCTCCTGGGGACATCATTCAGGTCAGTTTAAGTTTGTTCCATGATAGACAACAAGTGTCCTTGGCAGACAAATGCAGCTTGCTCACAGAAAGCTTGAGTGTCCCGGAGTACGAAGAGCTAGGAATATGGACCGGACTTTACAGCCTCTGCGGCAGGGGTGTACTTAAGTCCTCAGGCCAGAGGCTTGAGGAAAGTTCTGTTAAAGATGTTTCCTGAGTAAGCTCTCGATGATAACAATGTTCCCCTAAGTATGAGTGGTGGAGTTGTGAACTTTTGTTCCAGGTAGAGAGAACAGCATGTGCAAGTCAGAGAAGCATGAGAGAACAAAGATTCGAGACACTTAAAGTTATCGAAACCCGAGGGGTAGCCCAAGGACATGAAGCGAGGGAGCTAGGTTTGGGCTCTGCCAGGCTGAGTTCTTTTCCTGTGGGAGATGGGGAACCACACTGGAGATTTTTGAACAAGGAAAGGAGATGTTCATATTCACAGTTTTAAGATCGCTTTGGCTAGAGTAGCGGGAATTGAATAAAGGAGTTGAAATAAAGGCAGGGAGACTTTGAAAAGGACTCAAGCAAGATGGAAATTTGTGTGCTAAAGCAACAGCACTCTGTGACTGGTTTACAAAGGAGGTTAAGACGGGCTGCGTGTGGTCGGAGAGGAATCAGGGTGCCTCTGGGACTCTGCAGTGGGTGACGATGTGTGGACATGTTCGAAACCACAGGAAGCTGGGCAAGACAGGGATGAGAGGGAGGAAGGAAATCGACCCGGCCTCTGTGCGACCCGGCCTCCGTGCGGCCAGCAAACGCATGCGCAAGAGTGGCTGTCTACACAAGCGCATAGGAGAAGAGGGGCCAGGAAGGAGTTAAGTGTAAGGTGCCTGCCAATCAACAGAGGGAAAGTTTTACAGGCTGAAGGACACAAGGATCTCAGGTTTCTCGAAGGGTCACTGAATGGTCTTCTAACGGTTTCTCTTCCCATTAGGAAATGTAGCTCAACATTCCTAGAATTGTAGCTCTGGTGATTTCTGAAAATAGAAGACAAAGAGTTGGAACCAAAGAAAACACATTAAAAAGATCTTTAGAAATTCCAGTTTCCTATCGCTGGTGCTTTGGAGGCTGCAGTAACTTGGCATTATTTAAATTCAGCTTCCCCTGCATTTTGCTTGGAATGGTGATCTTTTGTGTAAAAAAAAAAAAAAAAAAAAAAAAAAAAGATGGCGTAGCCCGTAGTGCTAAAAGTGACTTCCTTAAAAGATGACTCTCAAAAAATAAATGTTCTTTAACTGTCGCTCAGTCTATAAGGAGTTGAGGCATCTAGGATGGAAAATAGAAACACATGATACCCAGCCTCCCTTTTTAGTTCATAAGAAAATGTGCCAGGATTTCTGTCATTGCCTAGAATTATTAGAGCCACAGGTTTATCTAGTCACCTCAGACTGGAGGTGGCCTCTTGGAGAACCCACAGTTATCGAGACTAAATAATTTAGTTTTTTTTTTTTTCAGGTGTACTATGGTGTGAAAACAATTGGGAAAGCATTTTCTAAACACATACTTGAAGTTAATAATTATTAACAAGTGACTGTTGAAATCATACTACATAACAAATACACAATGTTGACATTTTTATTGTGTACACACAAGAGAAAGCTACAAATTGACAGCAGTCAATTAAATACTATGAATAGGAATAAGATAAAACTTTTTTTTTTAGGACAAGTTTCTCTGTGTAACCCTGTCTGTCCTGGAACTGTGTCTATAGACCAGGCTGAGCTTGAACTCAGAGATCCGCTTTCCTCTGCCTCCAGAGTGCTGGGATTAAAGTTAAGTCATGCACCACCATCACCACCACCACCATGTAGGGTGGGGGAACACTTCTTAAGGGATCCCACTCTCCCTGCCCCCACCCATTTGGGTACATTTTGAACATATTTTTATGTAAACACAAAACATAAGGAGAGAAACATCTCTGATATTTGATGTTTTCTGTAACTGTTCAAAGAGTCTTCAAATAAAACCTTTATTGAAATGTCCAGTGGATGAAGGAATAAGAGAATCTGAGACCTAAGTTATCAATATACTCATTGAGTAAATACGATAATCTGACTAAGTCTTAACTCCAAGGTAAGTAGTAGCACAGTTGTTGGGTGCATGAATAACAAAGCACCTTTCCCGTTTAAGAGAATGCTGTCACTTCAGGGAATGCTCATGGAAGTAGCTGTGATCTTGAGATAGACACACTGTGCTCACAGGCACAGGTACAGAGTGTTGCTGGAACACAGAAGACGTCAGAAACCAGGAAGCCAAAAACTGAGGAAAAATAGGAGCTTTCTCTTGCTCCTTTATTCCAAGTCTGTGACTTGATGCTGCTCCTCCTCCTCCTCCTTTTTCTTTTTCTTTTGATTTCATTTGAATCGAGAACAAAGTTTATACTCCAAATGTTCCACGAGCCCAGTATCAGGCAAAACATATCAGTGTGTGAACACGGGCCTCTCACTGCAAAGGCTTGTTCTACCATCCTTTTTCTGGGAACTGCTGAATGATCTCACTGTCCATAAAGTTACAGAAGTAGACCCTTGGGAATAATTCTTTAAAATGTAACTCCAGCTCCTACCCAAGGAGAATCACATGGTCCCAGCTCAGAGTCTCTTTCCTAGAACTCTGGAACTGAGTCCCAGAGAGTGGGACTAGTTACTTTTAGGAGAGGCACCCTTGCCTGCTTAGGAGCTGCACAAAGGCTTGCTATGCAGTATAGACTTAAAATAGAAGAAAGAGTCGTAGACAAAGAGAAGAATCTCATCCACAGGCATGAGCAGCAACAGCGGATGGGAAATCCCAGGGACCTTGCGCTCTGCCCTAGATCTTACAGAAGTTTTGTAGCTTTCACATCTTCCAGCCAAGGATTATTTGCAGGTTTTCCACACAGTTCACACTAGTCAGAACCCTGTCTGCGCAGTTTTTTCACACACAATCTCAAACTGTAGTGAAGGCCTGTTGTTTGCCTCCTTGGAATTCCTTCTTGATTCCCTGTCACCCACATTCCCCCTTTCTATCAGCCCTGAGTTACTTGATTCTATGGCACTTCAAGAATCTTAAGTATTCTGAAGGTGAGGAGGGTGGAACTGACTTCATCGCCAGGTCTAAATAAGCCTCCTCTTGGCTGATGGCGGCAAAGCCTTTGCTCTTTGTTCCTGGTGGCTGAGTTGAAGGTGGGCCCAGCAACTACTTCCCCGGCCCCCAGTCCCCTTAAGTGGATAAGAGGAGGAGGTGCTGGGAGATTCTGGGAAACCTCATCTGCTCTACTTTGGGGCAACAGTTGAGAGAAGTTCCCTTTTCTTCAGCTAGTGTGGCATGGGAACCTGAGGTCTGGAGCTTCCCCACAGGGAAGGGCTCAGCGAACTAGGCTGGTGCAGGGGAAGAGATTTGCGGGGTGCAAGGGAAGAGAGTTGCGGGGTGCAGGGGAAGAGAGTTGCGGGGGCAGCCAGGTGGATCCAATCAGGACTGAAGGCCACCCTGATTTTGTACATGCGTGTCCCCTCTGCTGTGTGTTCCTTTTCTTTGTTTGAGCCTCTGCCTCGGATTTGCCTTTATCACTCAGCCAAGCATCGTAACCAGCAGAATTCACCATGTTTTCCTCTTTGCTGACGTAGCAAGTCCTTAAAATCTTTCTGGTTTATACCTGCCGTCCCTTTTGGGCTGTGTGCAGAGAGGTGCATTCGCTCTGGTCTTTTGAGACTTGTTTTTGACAGACCATGTAACAAATGTGGAACGGAATGTGAGACCAGAGACTAGGATGTGCTCTGTTGGTTAGCAAAATCTTAATTCAGTATTGGTGTCCTTAGGAATGTCCAAAGAATCTCAGAACTCTTTGGTGCTAATTTTTTTTAATATTTGTAACTAATATTTTTAGAGCCTTGATTAAATGATTTGTAATGATCTAGTCACGTCTCCTGAAGCAGGCTACCACTTACTGCACGCATAATTACATCTCAGTTTTAACTTAGCTGTTTATGGTAAAAAGGGAGGATCAGCATGTCTGGGTCTGTTAGCCTGAGACCATAGTGCCCTTCACTGAGTGAGTCCTCCTGTCCAAAGGTTCCAGCTGAGATGCAAGAAGGAATTTCTCCATTAGCCTAAACATGAGCGCCCGGGGCTCTGCTGAAGGCCACAACATGCCCAAGTTTGATACAAATGGAAAGTTCACATTCTGTCTCTTTCGGCCTCTTTCCTCTTCTACCTTCCTTCTTTCTTTCCTCATCTAACATGAGAATGTTTTTTCTGGAAACGTGGATTTCTCTTTCAATCAGGACTGAAGGCCACCCTGATTTTGTACATGAGAAGACCAAAGAGTCAACCGTAAACTATTCAATCAAATCCTGCTCACACTTAACTAATTGCCAGTTAGTGGTGGATGAGACGAGAAACCTAATTTACCTTCTTAGCAGATTTTCTATTTCATGTTTAAGAGATCTGGCTTTTTATGAAGAAGCTATTTGCGCATCTAAACTCAGTGGTCACAGTGTTAGCTGCCTTCTATTTACTTGGAAGATGAGCAAATTTGTGCAAAGGAAGTTTATGCATCTTCCGGACTGTTTGTTCTTTGTCCTAGGAAGATGCTTCTGGCATATTTGGAACCTTTGCTCCTTGACAAGATGTGTTCTCGGAATTATTGGTTAACTGGGGAGGCCTGAGAAACTCAGATAGTGACATTTAGACATCGGACTCTGGGCAATCACTTCTTGCCCTGCTGTAGTCTGCAAGGGTTGTGACTGAAATGTCAAGTGTAGACGGGAATCTCGATACACAATGTTCTTTCTTAGAATACATAAAATGGGAGGTGAACGCAGCTGTCTCAGGCATGGAAATGGGGCTATCACACAGACAGATGTGGTGACTTGCCCGAGGTTACACAACCAGGGAGTGCTACATCAGGAATTCAGTTGCTCCAGTCCTCCCGACCCCATCGTCTACATCTAACCACAAGCATAGTTGAAAAGACTGCTTGGGTTCTTGCTCTGAACCAGGCACAGCTTCACAATGCGGTCACTTGATCGTAACATCCTTTGCTTAACAACGAGATTCTTGAGAGCAGGGTGTGGTTCTGTGCTTCCAGTATGCTGTCTTGATGATTTCTGGTTTAAACAAACCACTGATGGACCTAAGAAAACAGGGGCGCATGTTGTTAGAAATACGGCTCGCGTGAGTGGCTAGGTATTAGGGCGAGGACGTCCTTGTTGGAGTAGAGAGAAATGGAGATTTCATTACCAATAACTGCCCTGCACTGATATGGCACTGGTCCTCATCACGGTGGTCACATTCCACACACAGGCTGTGGTGGAAGCTGGATGCGTTGTTCCTTTCCTCCTGAAAAAAAGTCTCGATTTGTAACTGGGCTCAGCTGTGGGAGCACTGTGCAGTGACTTCTAGGAAGTGACCCCACAGAGTCGCAGCAGGTCCCTCTTTTCTCTTTCTGCAGGGACTGGGGACTGAACAGGTGGGGCTCCTCGAACCACTAAATATCACAGGGAACTTTGGAATGTGGCCCCTCGCTGAGCACATTCTCCTGTCCATCTGCGATGTGAAGGAGCAAAGGCCACGGTGATTCTGTACATGCTTTCCCCGTTGGTCTTTCATTCTTAGCCTTTCATTGGAGCCTTTGGATCATATTCATTTTTTTATCGCCCAGGCACAGCGTCACACCCTACAGTATGCATTCAGAGTGTTAGCATCGGAGGACTTGAAAACCCTGGTTTCAAACTGCACTTGCTTCAAGGTGCATTGCTCTTACATCTTTTGAGAATCTGCTTTGACAGGCCAGCCACAGTAACAAGTGAGGAGCGGAATGTGAGGGATGAGGCCAAAGAATGGGCTGTGATAGGTAACAAGGCAGAAGGAGCAAGTGTCTCCTCAATCTCTGCATCTTTGGGTGTGCGAATGAAAGAAAATTTGCTTTGTTGAAGCCGTGGTTTTAATGACTCATTTCATTTGGTACTCATTCCGTTTGATCCTGAGGTAAGTGCTATGACTGTCTTCATTGGAAGCTGAAGAAAAGGAGGTCATAAAGCCCAAATAACCTTGTCAGGGTCAGATGGCTATTGAGAGTAGAGCTGGGGTTTCACACCCTTCCTGGGCACTCTGCTCTGTTCATACATATAAGAGACTCAAACAAAAAGCCCCCCCTCTGCTCTTACACTCATAGGTAGGCACCCTTCTTTTTGTGTGTGATTATATGTATGTGTGTGTGTGTGTGCACGTATGTTTAAGTGTTCATGTATGTGCAAATATTCATACACGTGTGTATACCTGTCTCTGGAGGCCAGAGGTTGATGTTCGGCATCTTCCTCAATTGCTCTTCACCGTATTTTTTGAGACAAGGTCTTTGAGTGAACCTGGAGCTCATTGATTTTTGTGAGACCAGCGGTCCAACAAGCCTCAGGGATCTTCCTGACCCTCTTCCCCACCCCATTGCTGGAACTGCAGACACGCCCGTGTCCAGCTTTACAGAAGTGCCGGGGAATCCAATTCGGGGTCTATTGTTTGTACAAGTAGTTTACCAATTGAGCCATCTCCCCAGCCCTCTAGGACTTCTTTCTAATAGACTAAGTGATAGGTATAACCTGTTAGTGACCTATGAAATAAAGGCAGATAGCTCAGTACATAGCCATTGTTACAATCAGAAATCTAACGGACAACACAGAGTATTTTATTTGGGATGTAGTTTTACATCAGGCCACTAAAAATCCTAATCAGAACTGACTTGAACAAGCAGGAATTTATTAGTTCATATATCAAAGACGAGTGAGAGCTGGGGTGGTCCCGTGGGTTGGTTGGCTCTGCAGTCGAGTGAGCACGGGTCTTTTTCACCTCTGTGGGCGTGACTCACAGCCGAAGCATCGGCTGGTGCTGAGCCTAAAGAGGGTCAAACAACTTACAGACGTGGGTTCTTCATGGTAGGATGCACAGGCACAAACACAGCCTTGGTGTTTGCCCAAGGCTTGGACAGCTGGCTCTGTGAGTTCCACGTGTTGGGCCACGATGGATGAGGGGGAGACTTGGTCTGCTGTATAAAGCGGTACGGACACCACTGGGTCTCCAGAAGTGATACTTCCTACCCCCACTTCCCCATGAAGCCACGCCTTAGATGCAGCGAACTTTTGCCTCCATGCCAGGAGGAGGGAGAAAAAGAGCTTCCCCTCCTATTTGCATTTTGCAGAGACAGGTTCTTGTCTTCCTTTTAAAACTGAGGTGAGATTTTTTTTTTCCCTCAGAAATTTCTTGTCAGCCTTCCCCTGTCACTTAGCAACTATAGATGTCGTCTGAAAGGGACATGGATATGGAAATGACAATTGGAGCCTTCAGAGTGGGCGTGATGCAGAGCTACGTGCTGGCTAACAAAGTAGTGATATTCGAATATGGACCCTTCTTCTATGACAGACACCAAGCCGTCTGCACTGGATCCCTCCCTTCGCCAAGCTGGACCCGCTGCACCCCTGGCGCCTATGTTCAGGTCACCTGATTAATAACCAGATGTGACAATAGAGAGGGAGTGGCCAGGGAGAGTCAGGTCCTAACTTAAGAGCATCTTAGAACTGCAAGGGTGAAATCTTTTCACAGACTGGGGTCCAGAGCTCTAGTGATGTGTCTGCTAGGATAGGTTACTAACAGACTGGGTCCATCATGTCCCGCATCCTAAGTACTCTTAACATGGCTTAACACGACATTAGAGTGTATGGACAACATAAATTATCATTATCAACTTGAACTGCTAGGTTTTTGCATGTGGGTGACTTCTCGTACACACCCCCAGTGGGCTAAAAGTCGAGAAGAAGCAAAGAAAGGAGACTAAACAGGTGAAGTCAGAATGTTACCAGAAGATTAGAGTGTGGCTTGTGCCCATTTTTGAGTAAGACCTTTTTTTTTTTCTATTTTAAAGCTCTAGGGCACATCAACATGTCAGCTCATGATGGAGGCTCCACAGCCATGAAGATATTCACCAAAAGAGACGGTGCTGTGAGGAGGAGAGTGGCCTGTCTGGGCTGCTTGTCCTCTGTGTCTGAGAAGTCATGAGGTGCAATGGGTATTGTGACTCCCTGACCCTGACAAGGGACACTGCCTGCTTTCTCCAGGACTGCCCCAGGGCAGAGTGCTGCTCAGTAAGCCCAGTAAAATTCATCCTTGTGTTCTTTTTTTTGAAATGGGGAATGGTATGTTGGTAGAGGCTGAAGTCTGTGCTATGTCTGTAAGAAAGATGATGAAATATGGAGGAACAGTTCTCTAGTGGCCTCCAGAAAGCCCCCTGATTACTGTGCTCAGAGACAGCCACTGGGGAGAGAAGTGAAATCTCTCTTCTTCCTCCTTGCCAGATAGTTTTCTTCATTTCACGTTTGCAAGCCGCCCTAAACCAGGTCTCTGAGTGTCACAATAGCAGGGTTTTCTCTTAGAATCTGACTGAGTTGAAATATGCTGGAAAGGTTATCTGACTCAGAATTCTTCAGAGAATTGTTTAAGAGAAAAGGAATTCCTGCCACTGACTTGAAGGTCTGTTGACATCTCAGTCCTCATTGTACTTTTAATTCAGGTACAGATGAATCCAACATCCTGCCAAAGCTTGTACCCTTTCCTATTAGGGGATTGATCTATGTGGTCTCTGTCATCTACTTCTTCTCTGACTCAGGAAAGAGAGGAAGAGGGAGAGAGAGAGGAGAGAGAGAAAAGACAGAGAGGAGAGGAGAGAGGAGAGGGGAGAGGAGAGGGGAGAGAGAGAGAGAGAGAGAGAGAGAGAGAGAGAGAGCAAGCGAGAGTGAGCGAACTTATTTAGGGTGAAACAAATCCATTGGAAAGTTAGTCTCTAGGCAACCACTATTGCATGTGTCATGAATTTATGCAAATTGGCACTTATTACTCTATAATGCCAACAAAAAAGTAAAATGAGGTTTGATGAAGAACTTGAAAAACAGACTCTGTTGAATACTAGAGTCCATTTAGGGTTGCTTGTATGCATGTGAGTTTAGGGCTGACCACTTGGGGTTGGATAAGCTAACAGGACACTCCTCCCCAAAGAAAACTCCTTGTCCCAGCAACCACCGATTGCCAGTAGCTCTTCCTTTAGGAATTGGGACCTTGTGGAATTTCTGTCATACATGTTGGCATGCCAGCCAGTGTTGTCCTTATGGAAATGTTTGGCAACTGAGATTCTAAAAGACACTATCTCCTCATAGCAGGCATACTGGTCCTCTGGCTCTTTCGGTCTTTTCACCCATTCCTCTTAGGTTTCCCATGAGCCTTTGGGTGTGTGGGGTTATGTTGTAGTTGTATCAGTTTTGGTTGGGCCCATGGTCAATACCCTTTGCATTTTGACTAGCGATCTCTGTAGTAGTCTTCTGCTTCAAGAACGCAGCATCTTTGATGAAGGTTGAGAGCTACAGTCTACCTATGGGAATACAGCTAAGTATTTAGAATATAGTTGGAAGTTATCTTGGTTTAGGAAAGCGGCAGTGGCAGTTTCTCTTCTAGGCTCTGTGACCCCTTCAGCCATGGGTAGTTAGCTAAATTCCCAGTACCAGGAGTGAATTCAATCCTATTGAAGCCGAACCCAAGTCCAATTAGATGGCTGTCAGTGACCCCCAGGATCTAAGTGTGGCCATTGCACCACTGGAGATATCCTGCTAGGCCAGTCATTGTGGTTTGTAGGCTTTACAGCTGGGTAGGACTAATGATTGATATTTTTCTCCCCTCGGCAGATTGTATATGGCTTTCCTGTACTGAAGAGCTAGTCCTCAGGGAGGAGGCTTCCAAGTCATTTCTAGCATAATTTCTCTAAGTCCTGTGTCTGAAGTGTGCAACGCCTTCACAATGGTGTCCTGCCTTCAAGTACTTGGAGGCAGCCAATGGCAATAACAGTAGCCTATATTGTTGAGGGGGGTCTCTTGGACTACCCTTTCCAATACCGCAAAGGGAGCCTGCCTATGCCTGGTACTGAAGGTTTTGTTAAATAGTCTATGGCCCTTTGGGGGAACATTATCACTATGTGGAACAAACTCTTTGAAAGCATAGGTCAGCTCTATCTCTGTGTAAGCTAACTGGGCATCTATGGGATCACTCATTGTTGTCAATCACCAGTGAAACATCTTGGAATTTAGATACACTCAGGTTAGCTCTCTTATTTTTAAGACTTTGATAAAGCCTTCTTACAGCCATATGCTTAGGGAATTTTGCAAAAGTGAAACTGAGGACGCTATTTACATTCCTGTCTTAACCCTCTGGATAACTTGGATGTCCCTATGGAGAAGGGACCTTGTAACGTGCTGCCCATGCCCCATACCAACAGCAGTATGTTAGCATTGTCCTAGGTGCCATCTCAGAATTACAGTCAGCAGTTCTTGGGATGGATCCCACTAACCCTCAGGGTAGCCAGCCTTTTGACATGACATTGTCATCTAAAAACTGCATAACTGAGCTGCGAAAATGATTGAAAAAAACCTCATAATGTTTTATGCAAGTTTGCAATTTTGTATTGGGCTGCATTCATGGCAGGAGTGGGATGCAGGAGTGGGATGCAGGAGTGGGATGAAGGAGTGGGATGCAGGAGTGGGATGCAGGAGGCAGATGGTCTTCAGCCTGGCACACCTTGCTGTTGAGCCATCAAATTGTTCATTTGGCTGATGGAAAATTCCATTTT